AATGTCTACACCTTATGTGTACTGTCCAGTGAATGTCCACACCTTATGTGTACTGTCCAGTGAATGTCCACACCTTATGTGTACTGTCCAGTGAATGTCCACACCTTATGTGTACTGTCCAGTGAATGTCTACACCTTATGTGTACTGTCCATTGAATGTCCACACCTTATGTGTACTGTCCAGTGAATATCTACACCTTATGTGTACTGTCCAGTGAATGTCCACACCTTATGTGTACTGTCCAGTGAATGTCCACACCTTATGTGTACTGTCCAGTGAATGTCCACACCTTATGTGTACTGTCCAATGAATGTCCACACCTTATGTGTACTGTCCAGTGAATGTCTAGACCTTATGTGTACTGTCCAGTGAATGTCCACACCTTATGTGTACTATCCAGTGAATGTCCAAACCTTATGTGTACTGTCCAGTGAATGTCTACACCTTATGTGTACTGTCCAGTGAATGTCCACACCTTATGTGTACTGTCCAGTGAATGTCCACACCTTATGTGTACTGTCCAGTGAATGTCCACACCTTATGTGTACTGTCCAGTGAATGTCCACACCTTATGTGTACTGTCCAGTGAATGTCTAGACTTTATGTGTACTGTCCAGTGAATGTCCAAACCTTATGTGTACTGTCCAGTGAATGTCTACACCTTATGTGTACTGTCCAGTGAATGTCTAGACTTTATGTGTACTGTCCAGTGAATGTCCAAACCTTATGTGTACTGTCCAGTGAATGTCCACACCTTATGTGTACTGTCCAGTGAATGTCCACACCTTATATGTACTGTCCAGTGAATGTCTACACCTTATGTGTACTGTCCAGTGAATGTCCACACCTTATGTGTACTGTCCAGTGAATGTCTAGACCTTATGTGTACTGTCCAGTGAATGTCCACACCTTATGTGTACTGTCCAGTGAATGTCTAGACCTTATGTGTACTGTCCAGTGAACGTCCACACCTTATGTGTACTGTCCAGTGAATGTCCACACCTTTTGCGTACTGTCCAGTGAATGTCCACACCTTATGTGTACTGTCCATTGAATGTCCACACCTTATGTGTACTGTCCAGTGAATGTCTACACCTTATGTGTACTGTCCAGTGAACGTCCACACCTTATGTGTACTATCCAGTGAATGTCCACACCTTATGTGTACTGTCCAGTGAATGTCTAGACCTTATGTGTACTGTCCAGTGAATGTCCACACCTTATGTGTACTGTCCAGTGAATGTCCACACCTTATGTGTACTGTCCAGTGAATGTCCACACCTTATGTGTACTGTCCAGTGAATGTCTACACCTTATGTGTACTGTCCATTGAATGTCCACACCTTATGTGTACTGTCCAGTGAATATCTACACCTTATGTGTACTGTCCAGTGAATGTCCACACCTTATGTGTACTGTCCAGTGAATGTCCACACCTTACGTGTACTGTCCAGTGAATGTCCACACCGTATGTGTCCGCCCCCCCCCCCCCTTTGCCAAACACAGCCAAACATGCCGCTAAAAAGATAGCTAAACAAAACGATAATAACAAAACTGAAAATTGGGCTAGTAAAACTAATTCCGAGGTTAAATGAACCCAGAGCACAGCTTAGCCAAACAAAAAGTTGCAATAATTGCAACGATTAAATTTTACATTAAAATATTTTTTGTACAACTGTGGTAGCAGGGAGAAGTCTAATCCTAGATAAAATAGTTTCGTAGAGAGCTTTGACAAGATGGCGTCACAACAGCGAAGATTAAGAGGATTTAAGCGGGGATTGGAGGTAAGTGCACAGCAAAATCTGAGGGTTGAGGTGACTGTTGTTTGTACACATGTACACCACCAGCATCAACTTTACACGTGAGTCTAGGATGTACACATGTACACCACCAACATCAACTTTAGACGTGAGTCTAGGATGTACACATGTACACCACAAACATCAACTTTAGACGTGAGTCTAGGATGTACACACGTACACCACCAACATCAACTTTAGACGTGATTCTAGGATGTACACACGTACACCACCAACATCAACTTTAGACGTGAGTCTATTATGTACACATGTACACCACCAACATCTTTAGACGTGAGTCTAGAATGTACACCACCAACATCAACTTTAGACGTGAGTCTAGAATGTACACCACCAACATCAACTTTAGACGTGAGTCTAGAATGTACACCACCAACATCAACTTTAGACGTGAGTCTAGAATGTACACCACCAACATCAACTTTAGACGTGAGTCTAGGATGTACACACGTACACCACCATCATCAACTTTAGACGTGAGTCTAGGATGTACACCACCAACATCAATTTTAGACGTGAGTCTAGGATGTACACATGTACACCACCAACATCAACTTTAGACGTGAGTCTAGGATGTACACACGTACACCACCAACATCAACTTTAGACGTAAGTCTAGGATGTACACATGTACACCAGCATCATCAACTTTAGACGTGAGTCTAGGATGTACACATGTACACCACCAACATCAACTTTAGACGTGAGTCTAGGATGTACATGTACACCACCAACATCAACTTTAGACGTGAGTCTAGCATGTACACACGTACACCACCAACATCAACTTTAGACGTGAGTCTAGGATGTACATGTACACCACCAACATCAACTTTAGACGTGAGTCTAGGTTGTACACACGTACACTACCAACATCAACTTTAGACGTGAGTCTAGGATGTACACACGTACACCACCAACATCAACTTTAGACGTGAGTCTAGGATGTACACATGTACACCACCAACATCAACTTTAGACGTGAGTCTAGGATGTACACACGTACACCACCAACATCAACTTTAGACGTGAGTCTAGGATGTACACCAACAACATCAACTTTAGACGTGAGTCTAGGATGTACACATGTACACCACCAACATCAACTTTAGACGTGAGTCTAGGATGTACACACGTACACCCCCAACATCAACTTTAGACGTGAGTCTAGGATGTACACACGTACACCACCAACATCAACTTTAGACGTGAGTCTAGGATGTACACACGTACACCACCAACATCAACTTTAGACGTGAGTCTAGGATGTACACACGTACACCACCAACATCAACTTTAGACGTGAGTCTAGGATGTACACATGTACACCCCTAACATCAACTTTAGACGTGAGTCTAGGTTGTACACACGTACACTACCAACATCAACTTTAGACGTGAGTCTAGGATGTACATGTACACCACCAACATCAACTTTAGACGTGAGTCTAGGATGTACACACGTACACCACCAACATCAACTTTAGACGTGAGTCTAGGATGTACACATGTACACCACCAACATCAACTTTAGACGTGAGTCTAGGATGTACACACGTACACCACCAACATCAACTTTAGACGTGAGTCTAGGATGTACACCAACAACATCAACTTTAGACGTGAGTCTAGGATGTACACATGTACACCACCAACATCAACTTTAGACGTGAGTCTAGGATGTACACCATCAACATCAACTTTAGACGTGAGTCTAGGATGTACACACGTACACCCCCAACATCAACTTTAGACGTGAGTCTAGGATGTACACACGTACACCACCAACATCAACTTTAGACGTGAGTCTAGGATGTACACACGTACACCACCAACATCAACTTTAGACGTGAGTCTAGGATGTACACACGTACACCACCAACATCAACTTTAGACGTGAGTCTAGGATGTACACATGTACACCCCTAACATCAACTTTAGACGTGACTGTAGAATGTGTACATATAAACCGATAACAACCTAATGTAAGATTCTTTAGATGGTTTCTTAAGGTTTAGATGTGTTTGAAGTTTTAAAGCTTCTACTTATTTCAGTAGTTTTATTTTCATTCTTTGTTCCTTCCATTTTCTAGAATCAAACAAAACCAAAAGTGAATTCTTTGGTTATTCTTTTTTTTTTACTTTCTCGTATATACGAAGTATAGAGAAAGTATTGTAATCGTGCACAAAAATCACTTGAAGTTTTGACAATTTTCACCGTATTACACCTCAGTCCTTCTTCACATCCGAAGTATAGAGGACTTATTTTAATCGGGCAAAATTATCAATCCAGATTTATCAAAATTAAAAGGTTTTATCCCTAATCCAGTCTGAAAAACTGGGCTTTGCAATTCTGTCCGTATGTCTGTGTGTGTGTGTGTGTGTCTGTGTGTGTGTCTGTGTGTAAACACGATTACTTGAGTACCGTTACAGCTAGGTTGATGAAATTTCATATATAAGTATTTTATCAAAGTCGCAGATCTGTATCAACTTTTGAGCGATTTCCGATAAACGGAAGTGGTACTTTTTCTATTTTGAATTTTTCAAAAGCCTATAACTTGAGTACTACTTCAGATAAATAAATGAAGTTTCACATGTGAGTAAAAGATCTAATTTTCTACCTTCTGTTAAATTTTTGAGTAATTTCCGTTGACTGGAAGTAGTAATTTACGCTACTTGCGATTTCTCAAAAAACTAATGTAAATTTTAAAAGTACTAATAATATTGCGCACTAGTATGCACTTTTTTATTTGGCGTTCACTTGGTGTGCAATTCTTTTGTCTACGAGATTTTATTCTATTTTTAAAACTTTAAGTATTTAAAATGGATTAAAAATCATGTCTATAGCCCGAGTTCCCATCCCCTGTTGTTTTATATAAGAATATTCGAGAAAGTTTAGGGGAGATCACTCCCGGTTTATTTTGTTTAGCCAACATTCATTTAACAAAATTTTACAAAACATCGTTTGCTAAAGAATATACTTCAATAAACCAATACATCTTTTATGTCAACTTTTAATATCATAAATGTAAATTTGTGAAAAGGTAAAGTAAAATTGTTATAAATGTACAAATACCATCTACTTAAAAATATAAAGTAAATAAACATTTATTTATTAAAAAATATTAAGTAAACATATTTATTTATTAAAAAAATATAAAGTAGTCACACATTTTTTAAAAAAATATTCATTTAAAAAGTCTGTAAATGACCAAATAAAACACACAAAGGCAATATAAAAATATAAGTATTACATACATATATATACTTTGTATACAGATACACACACATATATTGTACACATACATACACAGATAACTATGCTTAAAAGCATAAATCCATTTGAAAAGTTGCTGAACCTACGGCCTTCTCTGCCCCTGACGACTGTAAACAATTTGTAAACAATTGCTCTCTTCCTTGCCCACATCCAGTCCCATGACCACGATGACTGGATCGTTGAGAAAAATGACGCCCATGCTGACGCCTCTGTCCATCCCAGCCTTGACCCTTGTGTTGACGTCATCCGGCCAGCTTTTCCCGGTAGGGGACATCAGATGGGGTACCACAGCTCTGTGGGGTAGAGGAGGTGGGTGGTACGTTAGGGTGGGGAAAATATAGTTTCACAGAAATTTTTAGATGTAGACAAATCAACGTCAAATGTATATGTCCAACGTGTTAGTTCATTGTTTTTACATCCTTATTGGTCGAAGTCTAATGCTGTGTGATAGTCTCAATTCTTTGGTAATGTGCGAATCTTCGAAATCTCACATGTATTAAGACATGTGTTTAGCTATGTCATCTCACCTGTAGTATATCAGGTGTTTAGCTATACATCTTACCTGTACAACAGCAGGTGTTTAACATCTCACCTATACAACAGCAGGTGTTTAGCATCTCACCTGTACAACAACAGGTGTTTAGCATAACATCTCACGTGTACAACAGCAGGTGTTTACCTGTACAACAGCAGGTGTTTACCTGTACAACAGCAGGTGTTTAGCATCTCACATATACAACAGCAGGTGTTTAGCATCTCACCTGTACAACAGCAGGTGTTTAACATCTCACCTGTACAACAGCAGGTGTTTAGCATCTCACCTGTACAACAACAGGTGTTTAGCATCTCACCTGTACAACAGCAGGTTTAAACATCTCACCTGTACAACAGCAGGTGTTTAGCATCTCACCTGTACAACAACAGGTGTTTAGCATCTAACCTGTACAACAGCAGGTGTTTAGCATCTAACCTGTACAACAGCATGTGTTTACCTGTACAACAGCAGGTGTTTAACATCTCACCTGTACAACAGCAGGTGTTTTTCTGTACAACAGCAGGTGTTTAGCATCTCGCCTGTACAACAGCAGGTGTTTAGCATCTCACCTGTACAACAGCAGGTGTTTAGCATCTCACCTGTACAACAGCAGGTGTTTACCTGTACAACATCAGGTGTTTACCTGTACAAAAGCAGGTGTTTAGTATCTCACCTGTACAACAGCAGGTGTTTAGTATCTCACCTGTACAACAGCAGGTGTTTACCTGTACAACAGCAGGTGTTTAGCGGCCCTCTGGTTGTATGTGACCATGATGATGGGACAGCGGGGCCTGTAGGAAGACACGAGCTGGACCGTGCGGCCAGTCTCACACAGCACGATGATGGCTGAGGCCATACACTGGTATGACGCGGCCACCACGGCCAGGGCCAGGCTGTGACTCGAGTCGACGTTTCTGGGCGTCAGTTCCCGCAACTCTCGGAATATCGAACGGCTGGAATTAAAGGGAAACAATCAGCGTCCAGATTAAATCACAGATACTTGCGGATTAGAATTATCCTTTGTAGGTCTACACTTACAGTCATACATTAAATGTAGGTTTACACATAGAGTCAGACATTAAATGTAGGTCTACATATACAGTCAGACATCAAATGTAGGTCTACATGTACAGTCAGACATCAAATGTAGGTCTACATGTACAGTCAGACATCAAATGTAGGTCTACACATAGTCAGACATCAAATGTAGGTCTACACATACCGTCATACATCAAATGTAGGTCTACACATAGAGACAGACATCAAATGTAGATCTACACATAGTCAGACATCAAATGTAGATCTACACATAGTCAGACATCAAATGTAGATCTACACATAGTCAGACATCAAATGTAGGTCTACACATAGTCAGACATCAAATGTAGGTCTACACATAGTCAGACATCAAATGTAGGTCTACACATAGTCAGACATCAAATGAAGGTCTACACATAGTCAGACATCAAATGTAGGTCTACACATAGTCAGACATCAAATGTAGGTCTACACATAGTCAGACATCAAATGTAGGTCTACACATACAGTCAGACATGACTTACTGTACAAGAGGACTCAGACAACGAATCACGTGACCCCTAGATATGACAACAAACCACGTGACCCGACGACGACTGACCTGTTGACCACAGACTCGGCCTCCAGACACACTGCTGCCATGTGGGAGACAGCCTCGACTGGGTAATGACCTGGGGGGGGGGCACAACAAAGTTAGGGGCATTAGTGGGCAGAGGGGGTAGCTGAGATGTTAGGGGCATTACTGGGCAGTGGAGGTAGCTGTAATGTTAGGGGCATTAGTGGGCAGTGGTGGTAGCTGTGATGTTAGGGGCATTACTGGACAGTGGAGGTAGCTGTAATGTTAGGGGCATTAGTGGGCAGTGGTGGTAGCTGTGATGTTAGGGGCATTACTGGGCAGTGGTGGTAGCTGTAATGTTAGGGGCATTAGTGGGCAGAGGGGGTAGCTGTGATGTTAGGGGCATTACTGGGCAGTGGTGGTAGCTGTAATGTTAGGGGCATTAGTGGGCAAAGGGGGTAGCTGTGATGTTAGGGGCATTACTGGGCAGTGGTGGTAGCTGTAATGTAAGGGGCATTAGTGGGCAGAGGGGGTAGCTGTAATGTAAGGGGCATTAGTGGGCAGTGGAGGTACCTGTAATGTTAGGGGCATTACTGGGCAGTGGTGGTAGCTGTAATGTTAGGGGCATTAGTGGGCAGAGAGGGTAGCTGTAATGTTAGGGGCATTAGTGGGCAGTGGTGGTAGCTGTAATGTTAGGGGCATTACTGGGCAGTGGTGGTAGCTGTAATGTTAGCGGCATTATTGGGCAGAGGAAGTAACTCTAAAAATTGGGGCATACATGGAATAGGCGATGGCTGTAATATTTGGGGCATTTCATTGCATTATGCTGGAGTGGTAACATTAGGGGAGAGGGCAGCTTGTAGCTCTGCTAAGGTTTGGGGGCATTTGAGAGCGGTGGCGGTTGTTGTTATATTATGGGCAATCAAGGGCACAGACGGTAGCTGTAGCTACTGGCATTTGAGGGCACATTTGGAAATTTGTAGTGAGGTTTTTTATTCTGGTCTTACCCCCCCCCCCTCAGCCTAGGTTTTATATTAAATATGTCTGAAGCTGACCTATGAAATGTGGTCTGGTGGAATGTGGTTTGACTGACTTCTTCGTTCCCCATTGTAATGTTGGACGGGGTTTCCCCAACACAATTAAATATTACGTGTCAACTGGTTATGCGCCATATAAGTCTTTGAACCTGATTATACACCTGTTTTTTTTTGTTTTTTTTTTGCTTCCCCTTCCGTAGCCTTTTGCAGTTGTTTGATTTAGGAGTTGTCTCTCCTTGAAGAGTTGCTGTCCCCTGCTATCGAACATCATCTGCCTATTAAAGTTGATTGTGGTTTGACTGACTCACCTACAGATTGACCTACAGTGTTTCTTCCGATTTTTTTCTCGGGGGGGGGGGGGGTGGGGGGGAGAAGGTGGAAAGGGGGGGGGGCTAAAATTTTCGGGGGAGAGGGGCGGACACTGTTAAAAGTATATATTTTCTATATAAATTCCATTTCGTTCGGGGGGTGGTGCGGTGGGGGGGGGGGGGGGGGCGGTAAACTTTCTTCGAGGGGAAGAGATAAGAGATGCCTGGAAGAAACTCTGCTGACCTATGACGTGGTTTGACTGACTGTCTAACCTTTAGCTGACTCCCCAGACAGCATGACGCAGTCCGCCCCGTCGAGTACAGCGTTGGCCACGTCGTTGGACTCGGCCCGTGTGGCCCTCGGCTTGTAGGTCATGCTCTCTAGCATCTGGGTGGCACAGATCACCGGCTTGCCGGCCAGGTTACACATTGAGATCATGTACTTTTGGGCGATAAAAACCTAAAACATTGAGATCATGTACTTTTGGGCGATAAAAACCTAAAACATTGAGATCATGTACTTTTGGGCGATAAAAACCTAAAACATCGAGATCATGTACTTTTGGGCGATAAAAACCTAAAACATCCAGATCATGTACTTTTGGGCGATAAAAACCTAAAACATCCAGATCATGTACTTTTGGGCGATAAAAACCTAAAACATCGAGATCATGTACTTTTGGGCGATAAAAACCTAAAACATCGAGATCATGTACTTTTGGGCGATAAAAACCTAAAACATCGAGATCATGTACTTTTGGGCGATAAAAACCTAAAACATCCAGATCATGTACTTTTGGGCGATAAAAACCTAAAACATCGAGATCATGTACTTTTGGGCGATAAAAACCTAAAACATCGAGATCATGTACTTTTGGGCGATAAAAACCTAAAACATCGAGATCATGTACTTTTGGGCGATAAAAACCTAAAACATCGAGATCATGCACTTTTGGGCGATAAAAACCTAAAACATCGAGATCATGTACTTTTGGGCGATGAAAACCTAAAACATCGAGATCATGTACTTTTGGGCGATGAAAACCTAAAACATCGAGATCATGTACTTTTGGGCGATGAAAACCTAAAACATCGAGATCATGCACTTTTGGGCGATAAAAACCTAAAACATCGAGATCATGTACTTTTGGGCGATGAAAACCTAAAACATCGAGATCATGTACTTTTGGGCGATGAAAACCTAAAACATCCAGATCATGTACTTTTGGGCGATGAAAACCTAAAACATCGAGATCATGTATATTGAGGGAGATAAACCCGAAATAAACAACACTTTTACTAGCTAATTTTAATGATGAGTAAGTTATAGGCCTAGGGCATTACCTCTGTTAATTATCGTTCATTAACACCCCTTCCATTTACACACCCATCCCCACCCAAGTGATTTGTTATTATTTTTCTAGTGGATGTGAGTCACGCCACTTACGTCATTCAGCATATTCTAGTTGGTGTCACACCACTAACGGGGCATGCAGCATATTCTAGTTGGTGTCACGCCACTTACGTCATGCAGCATATTCTAGTTGGTGTCACGCCACTTACGTCATGCAGCATATTCTAGTTGGTGTCACGCCACTTACGTCATGCAGCATATTCTAGTTGGTGTCACATCAATTACGTCATGCAGCATATTCTAGTTGGTGTCACATCACTTACGTCATGCAGCATATTCTAGTTGGTGTCACATCACTTACGTCATGCAGCATATTCTAGTTGGTGTCACACCACTTACGTCATGCAGCATATTCTAGTTGGTGTCACACCACTTACGTCATGCAGCATATTCTAGTTGGTGTCACGCCACTTACGTCATGCAGCATATTCTAGTTGGTGTCCCGTCACTTACGTCATGCAGCATATTCTAGTTGGTGTCACGCCACTTACGTCATGCAGCATATTCTATTCTTGCCACATACACTTGGGATTCCACAGTCTAAAAATAGCCTGGTGTTGTACAGCAACAATTATTTACGCATTGCTGGACCTCATTAGTGCACAAGCCACGCCCACCTGTCAGTACAAATCAAGTCTCCTGGGTTCATTTGGCGTGGTGGTTTCCTTGAGTTAAACGAGTTTTACGTTCTCCCTCGTATTTCCTGACTTAAATCTTGTCTTTTTAGTGGTTTAACTGGACATCCCATGACAACTGTACATCTAACGACTAAGGTTTACGTGTACGTACAAACACTAAAATTTAATTATGCATGCAACAAGCAACGTCATCCAACGACTAAGGTTTAACAGATCATTTATCGACTACAACCAACGAATAAAGTTAAACTGGAATCAAAAGACTATAGTTTAACTGGACATCCAACAGCTTAAGTTTAAAAGAACCTAATGTGTCAACCACAGCCTAAACCACTATTTAAACCACAAGCTACACCAGCAGCTAAACCAGCAGCTATACCAGCAGCTACACCAGCAGACGACTGACCTTCTCTGGGGGGATCTCTATCCCCATATCCCCCCTCGCTACCATGGCGCCGTCACACTCGGATAGAATCTCGGCGAAGTTGTAGATGCCCTCGAAACTTTCAATTTTGGCGATGATCTTGATGTGCTTGCCCTTCTCGCCAAGTATTTGACGGATCTGTCGTATGCCCGCACCGTCCCTAAACATTTGTGGACACAATATAAATCATTGGATGGAACGACTGTGTTGTTATAAAGTACATCAGTTGATCACCTCATCTGGACTATATTACGATAAAACAGCTAATGCTTTAAGAAGCTCAGATTGCTTGGCCATAGTTAAAGTAAAACAGTTGTAGCGCTAACCAGCTCAGACTGCCTGAGCTCAGACTTAAGCTGCCTGAGCTAAGATGGACAACTCACTGGATGAATGAGGCGAACACCATGTCGACATTCTGGTCGACACCAAAGAGCAGATCTTGTTTGTCTTTGCCAGACACCGCGGGTAGGTCAATTGGTGTCCCGGGTAGGTTACAGCCCTGTGGTGACAAGTGGTGTACTGGTGGTATGGTGACAAATGACTGGTGGTATGGTGACAAATGACTGGTGGTATGGTGACAAATGACAGGTGGTGTGGTGATACAAGACAGGTGGTGTGGTGACACAAGGCAGGTGGTATGGTGACACACGACAGGTGGTATGGTGACACAAGACAGGTGGTATGGTGACACATGACAGGTGGTATGGTTACACACGACAGGTGGTATGGTGACACATGACAGGTGAACTTGTGGTATGGTGACACATAACTGGTGGTATGGTGACACACGACAGGTGGTGTGGTGACACAAGACTGGTGGTATGGTGACACAAGACTGGTTTAATGGTGGTATGGTGACACATGACAGGTGTACTGGTGGTTAGGTGACACATGACAGGTGAAGTAGTGGTATGGTGACACACCAACTGACCTTTTTACTCCCCAACTTGCCGCCATTGAGTATGGTACAGCGCAGGTGATCGTTGCCCTTCTCATTGACCTGCAGCGAGATGAGGCCGTCGTCGATGTAGATGACGCTGCCCTCCTTCAGGACACTGATGATGTTCTTGTAGTCCACCCACAGGAACTCGGGGCTACATTTCTCTTTGTACTCGTCGTTCACGGTCACTGTGATCTTAGCGCCTGTATCAAACAGATAGTTTTACTGTCACTATGATCTTAGCTCATGTATCAAACAGATAGTTTTACTGTCACTGTGATCTTAGCGCCTGTATCAAACAGATAGTTTTACTGTCACTGTGATCTTAGCGCCTGTATCAAACAGATAGTTTTACTGTCACTGTGATCTTAGCGCCTGTATCAAACAGATAGTTTTACTGTCACTGTGATCTTAGCGCCTGTATCAAACAGATAGTTTTACTGTCACTGTGATCATAGCGCCTGTATCAAACAGATAGTTTTACTGTCACTGTGATCTTAGCGCCTGTATCAAACAGATAGTTTTACTGTCACTGTGATCTTAGCGCCTGTATCAAACAGATAGTTTTACTGTATCAATCAAAGAGTTTTCTAACATTTGTCTTAGTTTAAAATGTAACTTGCATTATTTAAAAATGTCTTAGTATCTGCTGTATGACTGTATAAAACAATCACTAGAATGTCTTGGTCTTGACTTAATGACTGTATGAAACAAACTTAAGTCTTGGTGTTGACTTCATGACTGTATGACGGTATTAATCAAATTGAAGTCTTGGTGTTGACGTATGACTTAATTACTGTATGAAACAAACTTCTGTCCTGATGTTGAGTTCATGACTTAATGACTGTATGACTGTATGAATCAAACTTAAGTCTTGGTGTTCACTTTATGACTGTATGACTTAATGACTGTATGAAACAACCTTAAGTATTGGTGTTTATTGTATGACTGTATGACTTATGACTGTATGACTGTCTGAAACAAACTTCTGCCCTTGTGTTGACCTACCCGTAACGAGGTCGACATCCGAGGTGTCCCCACCTATCAACACCCCCGTCCTGATGATGACTTACCCGTAACGAGGTCGACATCCGAGGTGTCCCCACCTATCAACACCCCCGTCCTGATGATGACTTACCCGTAACGAGGTCGACATCCGAGGTGTCCCCCCCTATCAACACCCCCGTCCTGATGATGACTTACCCGTAACGAGGTCGACATCCGATGTGTCCCCACCTATCAACACCCCCGTCCTGATGATGACTTACCCGTAACGAGGTCGACATCCGATGTGTCCCCACCTATCAACACCCCCGTCCTGATGTTGACTTACCCGTAACGAGGTCGACATCCGATGTGTCCCCACCTATCAACACCCCCGTCCTGATGTTGACTTACCCGTAACGAGGTCGACATCCGATGTGTCCCCACCTATCAACACCCCCGTCCTGATGTTGACTTACCCGTAACGAGGTCGACATCCGATGTGTCCCCACCTATCAACACCCCCGTCCTGATGATGACTTACCCGTAACGAGGTCGACATCCGATGTGTCCCCACCTATCAACACCCCCGTCCTGATGATGACTTACCCGTAACGAGGTCGACATCCGATGTGTCCCCACCTATCAACACCCCCGTCCTGATGATGACTTACCCGTAACGAGGTCGACATCCGAGGTGTCCCCCCCTATCAACACCCCCGTCCTGATGATGACTTACCCGTAACGAGGTCGACATCCGATGTGTCCCCACCTATCAACACCCCCGTCCTGATGATGACTTACCCGTAACGAGGTCGACATCCGAGGTGTCCCCCCCTATCAACACCCCCGTCCTGATGATGACTTACCCGTAACGAGGTCGACATCCGAGGTGTCCCCCCCTATCAACACCCCCGTCCTGATGATGACTTACCCGTAACGAGGTCGACATCCGAGGTGTCCCCCCCTATCAACACCCCCGTCCTGATGATGACTTACCCGTAACGAGGTCGACATCCGATGTGTCCCCACCTATCAACACCCCCGTCCTGATGATGACTTACCCGTAACGAGGTCGACATCCGATGTGTCCCCCCCTATCAACACCCCCGTCCTGATGATGACTTACCCGTAACGAGGTCGACATCCGAGGTGTCCCCACCTATCAACACCCCCGTCCTGATGTTGACTTACCCGTAACGAGGTCGACATCCGAGGTGTCCCCCCCTATCAACACCCCCGTCCTGATGATGACTTACCCGCAACGAGGTCGACATCCGATGTGTCCCCACCTATCAACACCCCCGTCCTGATCTCCGGGCCCTTGGTGTCGAGAGCCACAGCCACGACTGACCCCTCAGGGAGCCGTGACGCCGCTTCCCGAATGTTCTGCACGGTCTGTCCGTGGTACTCGTATGAGCCGTGGGAGAAGTTGAGCCGGCAGATGTTCATGCCCGCTTTCATCAGCTTCGGCAGCATGTCCAGCTGGTGGAGGTACATGGCGGTTAGCGATAGGTCACATCAGGTCACGTGGGTCATCTAGCTAGGGATAGGGGGCGCTTTAAACAGCGCAGTATGTCTGTTTGTGTGTGTGTGGGGTGAACTAAAATTATATTAACCTCAGCACTTAACCTAATCCTAAATTCCTAACTATACATGCAACCGAGAGAAGGAACACTATGATACTTAATTCAAGATACTGTACTTGTCTGAAACTAGTACACTAGGGTTAGGCGTATCATGGTGGAGGGGGGATATCTCCACTTTTTAACGATGTGATATTGGCGGACGTTAGGGGTGGGGATGATATGGCGTGTATGTTTTATGTTATTTTATGTACCAAATGTACACGTGTCAATGCACTTTTGGCGGGTGTAGGGGGCGTATATAAAACACCCCCATTCAGCAGAAGTTTGAAATATTTTGGAATCCAACCCCATGTCATTACCACGTGACACAACATAAACCTGACCCCATGTGGTGACCCCCGACCCCATGTCATCACCACGTGACACAACATAAACCTGACCCTATGTGGTGACCCCGACCCCATGTCATTACCACGTGACACAACATAAACCTGACCCCATGTGGTGACACCGACCCCATGTCATTACCACGTGACACAACATAAACCTGACCCCATGTGGTGACCCCACGTAAGCACCACGTGACACAACCTACCTCCCTGGAGGCGGGGCCGAGCGTGCAGACGATGTGTGTCAGCCTGCAGTTGCTGGTCTTGGAGTCGATGTCTAGCACCACGTTGTGGCAGTGGAAGGACTCGGCCATGTACGCCTTCATCTGCTCGGCTGTCGGCAGCGTCGCGGGAGCTGTGGACTTCATCGTGGCGCGAGCAGGCCCGGGCTGACCTGACCCGTGCTGACCCCCACCCTGAGGACCCAGCTTTGCCAACATTAAAGCCATTCTTGATGTCAGCTGTAGGAAGAGACAAGCTTAGAAACGTGAATCACACAGCTTTCATGTGGTTTAGTTTGGTGCGTTCAACATCTGGTCATTGGGAGATTCCCGTTTGGTAAAACATATACAGTGCGACAAATTTTAAAAGACATTTCTGTTGAAACACTTTCTAATTAATAGTTTAGTGTAATTAAATTATAACAGTGGATTAATTAGCAATCGTATTAATTGATAACTTAAAGAGTGGTAAATAACATGTATATATACACTAATTACACGCTGGAAACTACTATAACTTAATGTTACCAAAATTACATAACTGCAGTTGGTCATGTTGGCACCAGGTTCCTACATCCACACAACACGTGCACCTGGCCAGTGGGTCGGAACACAACATTGTTGCACACAGCAATACACCTAGATGAGAGCCAAAACATTCACCGGTGTTAGACATATAACACGTGCATTTTAACAACGTTGGTCAAAGGTTATTTAATCCTTTAAAATTTAAAATTTCTCTAAATCTCTCTCTTGTATTATATATATATATATATATATATATATATATATATATATATATATATATATATATATATATATATATATTCTTTAACGATTCTAAGCATATAGCTGTGTTGGCGTATGACCTTTTGAAATCGTGACCTGTGAAAGCTACGAGAATGCACCTACGCCACCAGATAAAGATTTACCTCAGATGTTACTATGGAGGTCCACTATCACCCCCTTTGCCTCCGCCACTGGGTATAATACACCAACAGTAAAGTATTGCCGGTAAAAATAAGTTGCACCTGGGTGGGTGCTAGCGTGCAGGTGAGGTGGACGATGGCGGTGGCCAAAATAGAGATCGATTGTACGCGGCCTGGGACCTTTTATAGACCCTGAGGTGGACCTTGAGCCGTGAGAGTTGTGGTAGTCACGTGACTGGTCAGTCCATGCTGTCTGACTGGACAGTGTGCAGGGTCAGAGGTCGATGCAATAGCCCTCGCCAGCTGATGGTGTGGGGGGGGGGGTAGGAAACACGTCGTAATGATAGCGGTAACATTTTTCTTCATGAAGTTTGTACTCAAAGTAAAACGTTGGTATACTGTGACAGCTGAATGACTAATGTGTACTATTTTTGCAACTGATGCTTTCCGCATGTTTTAATTGTTGGCCTTATGTAAAGGTAGCTGTTTTTAAATGTCAACCAAGTCATTTATAAACGGTAGTCTTGACCAACTTCAATGTTGATTAAGTGGTCAAGTCTCAAACTAATTGGCCTGACTTAGGTTTTAACCTACTTAATTGTTGTGTAATATTGGGTTAACACAAAAGTTGATGTACTACATACAGATGACTGTCTCAACTGACCTTAAGATGACAGTATCACGTGACATTAAGATGACCTTGTTACATGACCTTAAGATAGCGGTGTCACATAACCTTAAGATAACTGTGTCACATGACTTTAAATGACCGTGTCACACGATGACCGTCACATGACCAAAAATGATCACGTGACATAAAGATGAGCTTGTCACATGACCTAAAGATGACCTTGCTACATGACCTAAAGATGACCTTGTTACATGACCTAAAGATGATCTCGTCACGTGTCCTTAAGATGACCTTGTCATATGACCTAAAGATGACCTTGCTACATGACCTAAAGATGACCTTGTTACATGACCTAAAGATGATCTCGTCACGTGTCCTTAAGATGACCTTGTCATATGACCTAAAGATGACCTTGTCACATGACCTAAAGATGACCTTGTCACATGACCTAAAGATGACCTTGTCACATGACCTAAAGATGACCGTTTCACATGACCTGACAGTACAACCCTCGACGTTCGACTAATCTTTAATCCTAACACCTGGATCAACGTCACCAGGAAGTAAACATGTCATTAGTCTGATGGTGTCACACACGAGGACAAATGACGTCACCACACGCAGGTTTTAACTGTCAAAGTGTCGGGTAATTGACCAGTTTCTTTCAGTCAGTGAAGGCAGTTACATGGGATCTGACTTACACGTGATCTGACTTACACATCATCTGACTTACACATGATCTGACTTACACATCATCTGACTTACACGTGATCTGACTTTGATCTGACTTACACATGATCTGACTTACACATCATCTGACTTACACGTGATCTGACTATGATCTGACTTACACGTGATCTGACTTACACATGATCTGACTTACACGTGATCTGACTTACACATCATCTGACTTACACATGATCTGACTTACACATCATCTGACTTACACGTGATCTGACTTACACATGATCTGACTTACACGTGATCTGACTATGATCTGACTTACACGTGATCTGACTATGATCTGACTTACACGTGATCTGACTTACGCGTGATCTGACTTAGATAAAGTCAGCATATTCAAGGGGGTTCAAACATCTGTGTGATCACGCTATGGTAGCTACAAATTTAACTGACCCAATCCACATACTCACACTCTTACACATGCTCACCCCACACGCACTCGAACAAATACACCTACACATCCACCTACCCACACCCTCATATACTACCATAAAACAACATCCTCTCACTCACAGATCCATACCCACCCACGCAAACCCACCCACCCATCGTCACAGACACACACATCAACACCTACACATACCCTCACACCAACAGTCTCTAAAGCAGAAGTTTTGACACGTCACAAAACTACCCCCCTCCTCCCACAGCTTTTAAATTAATGACACATTCTAAGATCCCTCCGTACCCTGTGACGGTCAAATCACGTGTTATTAAAAAAACGTGAAGGTTGGAGGGTTAGGGAAGGTCTAAACATTAAATGTCACGTGACTTCAAGCTGAACTATTACTCACGTTAAGCTAACCGAGTCGTGTGACCTAAAATGACCACGTGACCTAAAATGACCACGTGACCTTAAGTGACCTGTCACCGTAAGATAACGGTGTAAGCCTGACGGAGAGATTACAACAACAAATCGTTGCTGGAACCAGCTGGTGTTGGTACCTTAAGATGTGGTCGTCATTTCGTTACATGGTGGTGATGCTGGTCATTTCGTTACATTGTGGTGATGTTGTTGTCATTTCGTTACAGTGTGGTGATGTTGTTGACATTTCGTTACATTGTGGTGATGTTGTTGTCATTTCGTTACATTGTGGTGATGTTGTTGTCATTTCGTTACATTGTGGAGATGTTGTTGTCATTTCGTTACATTGTGGAGATGTTGTTGTCATTTCGTTACATGGTGGTGATGATGGTCGTTTCGTTACATTGTGGTGATGTTGTTGTCATTTCGTTACAGTGTGGTGATGTTGTTGACATTTCGTTACATTGTGATGATGTTGTTGTCATTTCCTTACATTGTGGTGATGTTGTCATTTCGTTACAGTGTGGTGATGTTGTTTTCATTTCGTTACAGTGTGGTGATGTTGTTGTCATTTCGTTACATAATAAATAAGTTCTCTAGGCTAAAAGAATCGGTTCAGTTTTAATATATTCTTATATACTTTATGCCTCGTAACCCTCGCTTTACATAACCTTTTGCTTAAGTTTTATGATACCAACATTCTGGTCTAGACATACATTGTCATCGTGTGTCGTTTGTCAGAGTTGAACCGTTAACGGGGGTGTACGCACACGTACAATGCCACCAGGACACACACGGTACAATGCCACCAGGACATACAAGTACAATACCGCCAGGACACACACGTACAATGCCACCAGGACACACACGTACAATGTCACCAGGACACACACACACGGTACAATGCCACCAGGACACACAAGTACAATACCACCAGGACACACACGTACAATGCCACCAGGACATACATGCCACCAGGACACACACGGTACAATGCCACCAGGACACACAAGTACCATGCCACCAGGACACACACGTACAATGCCACCAGGACATACATGCCACCAGGACACACACGTACAATGCCACCAGGACACACACGTACAATGCCACCAGGACACACACGTACAATGCCACCAGGACACACAAGTACAATGCCACCAGGACACACAAGTACAATACCGCCAGGACACACACGTACAATGCCACCAGGACACACACGTACAATGTCACCAGGACACACACACACGGTACAATGCCACCAGGACACACAAGTACAATACCACCAGGACACACACGTACAATGCCACCAGGACATACATGCCACCAGGACACACACGTACAATGCCACCAGGACACACACGTACAATGCCACCAGGACACACACGTACAATGCCACCAGGACACACAAGTACAATGCCACCAGGACACACACGGTACAATTCCACCAGGACACACACGGTACAATGCCACCAGGACACACGCGGTACAATACCACCAGGACACACACGTACAATGCCACCAGGACACACACGGTACAATTCCACCAGAACACACACGTACAATGCCACCAGGACACACACGTACAATGCCACCAGGACACACGGTACAATGCCACCAGGACACACACGGTACAATGCCACCAGGACACACACGTACAATGCCACCAGGACACACACGTACAATGCCACCAGGACACACACGGTACAATGCCACCAGGACACACACGGTACAATGCCACCAGGACACACACGGTACAATGTACCAGGACACACACGTACAATGCCACCAGGACAAACACGGTACAATGTACCAGGACACACACGTACAATGCCACCAGGACACACACGTACAATGCCACCAGGACACACGTACAATGCCACCAGGACACACACGTACAATGCCACCAGGACACACACGGTACAATGCCACCAGGACACACGGTACAATGTACCAGGACACACACGTACAATGCCACCAGGACACACACGTACAATGCCACCAGGACACACACGTACAATGCCACCAGGACACACACGGTACAATGTACCAGGACACACACGTACAATGTCACCAGGACACACACACACACGGTACAATGTACCAGGACACACACGTACAATGCCACCAGGACACACACGTACAATGCCACCAGGACACACACGTACA